ACAAAGTTGGCAATAAAACTGGCTAAACAGCAACAAAATCTGTTGTTATAATGCTGAATGATGCCTACATTATATCAACAGTCATGTTCTCTCCAATACTGAAAAAACACTAAAGCTGCACTATAAAAGTTTTATTAAATAAGAAGGCACTTTCTATAGCTGAAGTACAAAAAGAATTTGCTTTCACTTGTTTTTGGCTGCTGTTTTCTACCAGCAGATGACTTCCATCAGTATTCCACCATGAATCTAAGACGGTAAAATACAATGTAGCAGAAGTAGTTGCAATATTAACCCTTCAACCCCACTCTACATTTGCTCAGCCTGATATGTTTGACTAAATAGGAAACTGAACTGCCTCCTGGTCTCTTTCCAATGATTCTGCAACAGACAGAATTGTTCTGCAGTGTTTTTCAAGACAAGGGCTGACCAAAATATGGCTTAATTCATTTTTAGTTAAATTATAAAACATGAGAAATGAAATTGAAAGACAACAGGCATGACAGAAGTTGATAGGACATTAGATTATATTGTAGAGATTCACATCCCTGCATGTATGAAGCACTAAGGAAAACATCTCCCTATGAAAATGAAATTGATAAGGATGTTTGCTTTGTTATGATGGTAAGATTTACTTTTGGGCCCATAGAGCAGAAGAAAATGTCTTCAAAGTTTCCACAATTGTGTCCTTCAATAAACTACAGAAGAAAATCAGTTATATTTTAGGAAATGAGAAGATTTATATTTGTCTCTGCTATTGGAGAGATTTATATACTCATATATATAATTTATTGTTTTATAGAACAGGAGGCAAAGAGGGGAGAATAGAATAAAGAGGAAAATTAATGAGGTGAAGAATAACTATAAGTACTTTTCTTCATTTATATTACTTCATAGTGTAGAGTTATATTATTGTACATAACCATTACAGGCCAATTGTGCTGGGTGCAGTACCTACACAGGAAGAAACGAGACTGGAGAAGAGTGCACTTCTACAGACGATCTTGAAGACTAAGAGAAAGACGTGCTGGATTCATAATTGGGCTAGGCAGCTAGTGAAGATCTCTGATAAATTTAAAAAGCACCAATTCAATGGATACAAAGGCTAAAAGGTTCAGCACAGGACAGGGAGAAATAACTAGAATAATGGAGTAAGAACTAGGAAAAATGTATGCTGATCAATCAGGTCAACTGTGAATTCATTTTCTAAAAGAAGAAATAGAATTCTCACCAGCAGGCAACTGGCCTGACACAAGGAAAAAAGGTATGAATTAGTTCATCTTCTATGTGGTTAAACTAGCATCATATCCAAAAGATGTTTTCATGATTATAGCAACACATATACAGGACAAAGGAGACAATGAGGCCCAAGAGTTCAAGTTCAAATAGAACATTTAGTTTCTTGAAGAGGGTCCAAAAGTTAGACTGGAGTCACAGGATGAAGCAAAAACAATAGAACAAAGAACAAACTATCCCAAGCAAGTGAAAAGGATGCAATGCTGAATGGTTAAGATGACGATCACTTATACTAAGGCTAAGTACAGTCAGAAAGCCCAAGGTTGAATCAATTCAGTTTCGCAGGTTAGTCTAAGCTGCATAGATTGAACCAATGAGCAAGTGAACAGACATTTACTTTTGATTCCAGAAATGCAGTCACCTGCCTGCAGTGGCCTAGGCCAGAACCCAGGGAGTGCTAGAGCACACCTCTCTGCTCAGCTGGAGCAGACAGCTAGTTTACCCACCCTGCAACAGGGGTTTGTGGGGGAGGTGCAAAGCATCCTGGGATGCTGGGAGACTGTGAGTTAACTTGAATCTGGAGGGGATCTGGGACAGAAGTTCAATAAACTGATTTAACCTAATCAGTTAAGTCTGATACTACATCCGGTTTATCTTAAACCAGTTTTGGCCATTTTGAAAGAGGTTTATGTGCGCTGAACTTCCATTGTGTTACAGATAAGAACTGGTTTCTGATCACTTATACTGGTTTATGTGTAATTTCTGTCCCTAGACTGTACGTCTATGGAAACTATCTTTAAGTCACTGCCCCTAAACCACACCCCCTCCCCCACCACAGAATCCAGTAAAACACACACATATACAAACTATTTTAGTATCATATAGTCTGTGGTATGATCCTAATAAACATTTACATTTTCCTAAACTCTCTTACTAAATCATTTCAAGGGCTTCTAGATAACAAATTACTTGTTTTGAGAGTTTCAGCTTCTCCTGTGATTGACCTTGACACCCATTTCACCATTTTTTGTCTGGTACTAGAAATTTCAGAAACATAATAATGTTACAAATGTAACTACCATTTTGATAGCAACTTGCCTCTAAATAAAATAGAGGTGTCTCTCTAATCAAGCTACAGGAAAAATATTCCTCTAGCTTAATGAAAACCCAATCTGAATTCCAGACCCTGGATCCCTACTCAAGCCAAACTGCAACTGAAATAAAGTGAGCACCACCTGATAAATCCTATTTAATTCTAAAGCAAGGGATGCTTTTTGTGTGCATATAACAGAAGCACACTTGCATGGTAAAATTAGAAACAATCATGAACTTCTATCCTCTCCCACTAATGCGACTTTCTTGCTGAACTTCCTGTCCATAGTTTGCTTTATAATTTATGTAGAAAAAAATCAGTTATGTGAGCTGAAATACTTGTATTAGTAGAAAGTGCAACTTTACAAGGCCGAATAACAGTTTCAACAAAGCTGCATGGTGAAATTTCTGTGTAATAATTTGTGAGATCACCACTGCTCACTTTTTTTTGTCAAACTTCCAATATATCATTGATATTCCAAACTCCTGTCTCCTGCAAGCAACTCATGCTTAGTTTGGTTTGGGACCCAAACACAGCTTGATATGATACACAACCCTGAGCAGAAAACAGCTTAGCTGTTATCTGGGGTAGAAGATGGAAAACCAGAGATGCGTTCATTAACATACTAAAGAGCTGCTCTACCCTCTATTAAGGGGAACAGTATTAAATTTTGTCCCTCCGGGTCACTCCTAGTAGGAAAAATTATTTTTGTCTTCTCATCATTTGTGTTAACAAAGAATACTTTACCATGAGTTCATACTTACCGACAGCTACAACTTTATAAGTATCAAACACTGCTACTGTCTCCACTACTGCTGTTTTTCAACTTGAAAATCAATCCCAATGTAATGAAAATGTCAAAATTCTGTAGTTATCCATAAAATTCTTCATTAGTTTTTCAATATTAATGACAAGAATCCTATTTATTTGATAACATTTAGAAACAGTGTGAAAAGTTGATCCATTATCTTTGATGACTACAGGACCATATCTCATATCTAGTCTTCTCTACTTGAATGTACAACTCACAAAGATAACATCTACACTTTTTGAGTTATTTTATTTCTTATAACAACTACTGCGAAAATAAAAGGCTTTTGGATGCCATGGCCATCAAAATCCCAAACCACAGGACCAGATCCAGATCTAAACCTGGTGTAAAGCAGCTTTGAAACAAATGGTGACGCATCCATTGGCACCATCTTGAGTATCTGACCCATGTGTCTATAAACAGCATTTAGTTCAACAGTAAATACAAAAGTAATTGTTCTGGAGAGTGTCTGTTCGTATAAGGCAGGGGAGGGCAATTATTTTGGGCAGAGGGCTGCTTACTGAGTTTTGGCAAGCCATTGAGGGCCACATGACAGGCAGCCCAGGGCAGATTAATATTAATTTTCTAAATTTTTTAGGGGCCCCGCGGGCTGGATAGAATGGCCTGGTGGGCCACATCCAGCCCCCGGGCCACATTTTGCCCACCCCTGCTATAGGGGCTGATGTATCATCTTGTTCAACATACAGCTCTCTGATTATTTTAGTATCTACCATTCTGGCAGACACAGTTTGCATTTTGAGTGGCAAATCTTTGTACGTTGGGCCAATCTTCTCCCTACTCTGTTTATGCCTTTCCTTTTGATTCTTTTTTTCCCCCTTCTATCTTGCTTAGCTGTCAAATAAAGGCGTATTAAGTCTGGCAAAGAGGAAGCACAAGTTGCTAGCTCTTGAAGCTGATGCCAATTGCACGGTCCAGATCAGCCTCAGGGGATCCTCTCTGTCTGTGTGTTGTGGAAATGCCATTCTTTCCATTTTCCAGAAATACCGAGCCAACTTTATTTCACTTCTCCACCCTTAAAGGCTCCGTACATGTTCTGAGATCCTGGCTACATCACTATGTTCCTCTCTTCATACTTAATGCATTGTGCTATCAAGGGTTTTCTGTATACTTACGCATACCAAAATGCCTTGAATATATGAAAGAATGAAAAGAACCAAATTACTTCCAGACTACCTGCTGAAGAAAATACACTTCTACATGCATTGCTAGCAAGGACATTCATTCCACATTCTTTGTTCCACCTTTGTAATGAAAACTCGGATGCTGTGCTTTAAACTCACAGAACTGGGTTAAATCACACTATGACTGTCTCACTAGCTACTTACCTGTAAACCAGGCATCTTTTGACCCTAGCCTCCCAACCACACACTTCAGGGACACTTTCGTTCATTCATTACATATACAAATATCAAGCCAGCATGTGGGACTTTAAAAGGAATTACATGTTTAAGCGCAGCCTTGGCCTCAGTCATATTATATTACATGATTAATACTAAAAAAAAATGCTGTGTTAGGGGCTGACTTTCAATCTCACCTAAATAAACTCCATAAAAAACGTCCCTGGGTCCGCGGTCTAGTATGACAAGTCAGAAAGTGAGGTATTGTGGGGGGGCGGGGGTCAAGTGAGACTGAAGCACAGAAAGCGGTATCCCTTGCCCCTGCTCCTGCCCCTCCCCGAGAAGAGACATGAAAATCCTGCTACGGAGCAAAGGAAGCTTTCACTTTTTCTTTGCGGCGGAGCCTTGTGCGCTCTGCTGCGAAAGCCCTCCGAGCGCTTGCTGTAGTGAACTTCCTTGATTTCTGGAGGGGCTCCCGCCCCCCGCTCAGATGCCTTTTACTCACCAACATCCCCATCCTCTTCGTCCTCGTCCTCTTCTTCCACTTCCACCAGCACGTCCTGGTTCAGCGCAGCCATCCTTCCCCCGGCTCTGCCCCCAGCCCTCCCCTTCAGGGCCGGAGCAGGCTGGCACACGGGCTGTCCTGGCCCCGGAGCAGGGTCGCTGGAAGGCGGCGGGCGCGTGATGCGGAGCAGCGGCGAGCCCA